ACTCTTTGTACATCAACTCTTTGTACATCATATCCATTTTCTGGTTGAGAGTGGTCATCTGGTCCACTAGAGGGCACAGAGCTGCAGCAATCATTTTGCGGGAGTCTGTGGCTGTTTCCAGTTTGGTAACTGGAGATTATGAGCTGGCTGCTCCTGTAAGTTTCGCTTTCTCCACCATTTTTTCTGCACGCTGCTTCATTGTTTTTACTTAGTAGGAAGTTTTTAAAAGTCTCTTATGGCCTCAAGTCTGGAAATATTGCTTTATTGCTAATCTGCACCTTACTTCGTCACCATTTGCTCTTTTCAAGCTGCCCTCGCCTCCCGCTTTAACTCAGTCTGTTTGGGATGGGGATCCCCCCCCCCGCTTGTTTGGGGCTTCAGGTCGGCTTTACTACCAGCAATCAAGTGGAGACTCACTAAATCATAAGTTTACTCCCATTCTTACTTGCGTTCATTTCTGTGGTAGGGAAGATTGGTTCAGGAGGGTCTCTTGTGCGCTCGGTCGGGTGTGCGCCTCTAGGTACCATTGCTATCTCCGTGCCTCGAGGACCTATCAGGGCAAAAAGCTGCCTCCATCCCTTGGCATTCTGCCTTGGGAGAGGCACCTCTCATGTCCCAGGCTGCAACCCTACTACAAAGGGTTGCGGGAGTCCAAGATCAACTCGGACCCCTCCCCATCGGCACATTTGCGGGCCGCTCACATCAGAGCAATGATGGAGCGCACCCACTTGCATGTCACCAAAAACTGGAACAAAAAAAAAAAGTCCTGTTCCTTAACACATGGGGTTCTATATCTAGTGGCATTCTTTACCTCCATGCCCATTTCCACACATTAAGCCTCTGTAAAAAGGACAGGACATTTTCTCCAGGCCTCTGGCAAACCTATATAGCTCTTATTGGCCTGATGAGGGCAAAAATGCAGGATATAAATTTTTAAAATAAGTAAAATAAAATGTAGAGCCAGTTTTTTGCCTCAAGCCAGTATGGCTGCCGTTCCCCACCACCACCACTGGAGGACTTTGCAGGCTTAAAAAACAACAACACACAATGAAATAGCAATTACTATACTATATTGCTGCAGTGCGATAACGTCATAATGATCTTTGGCCATGATCTACCAGTGTCTCAGAATTCCAATCTTTCTGTTTTTTTAAATAAAACTTTCCTTTTTTTGCAGAGATACAAAAAGAAACACTTCTCCTTATAACTTTGTAATGAAAAGGGCTGTTGAAATGAAATATAAACAATCTATTGGTTTGGAATACATTTTGGCATCAATAGATGTTAAAGCAGGTAAGGTTCAAGGTATTTGCCAGCCTGCTGGTGCAAAAAAAATAAAATTTTAAACATGTCACTTCTAGAGAAAAAAAAATCAGCACAGAATTTATGGATTTCCTGATACTATATGTGATGATTGCTGGCACAGGATTTTTCTAATCTCCGTGGGTGCTATTATAGTAGTTCTATTTTCTATAAAGAAAGTACACCCAACGTGTTGTCCATTTCACTGCAAAAAATCCATAGGCACGTATGCCAGTCCGCCAGAAAAGTCTGCAAACACCTGGGACAATAGTACATACAGTAGACTGTGCTATTTCAACATCCTGTATTTTGCTACCTTTTGTAATGTTCTTATCATGCTCTCCTAACAAGAAGCTTAGTACAAAGTCCATTTTATCGTCACAACAAATCTGTGAGGTAGGTTAGGCTGAGAGAGAATGACTAACACCAAGTCACCCAGAAAACATCACGGCAGAGCAGGGATCTGAATGTTTGTATCCCTAATTGGGCCACTGGAGGGAAAGCAACATGGTATAGCCCAGTCTCATCAGATCTCGGAAGCAAAGCAGGGTCGGCACTTGGAAGGCAGGACCCCCAAGGGAGACTCTGTGGAGGAAGTCCAGGGCAAAACCACCCCTGCTTCTCAGTTGCCTTGAGAGCCCCTTGCTGGGGTTGCCATAAGTCAGCTGCAACTTGATCGCACTCTACACACACAACAATTACACCACTACGCCACACTGGTGTGACGAGTTCATCGTTTGTAATATTCCTTGAAAATAAATTCAGAATCCTTACAAATAACTCCCCCCCCCACGCCCCCCAAAAGTAGCATAATACCTTTGCTAGGACCAACTAAGTTTTACAGACTCTTTCTCAGGCTATAAATTTTTTTAAAAGGGAGGGGTAGTTTAAAAGACATTGTTGGCACAGTGCACGATGCAGGACACTTTGCAAACTGTGACAGTCTTAAACGGATGATTCAGGAAACAGACTAATGACATCAGTTTGTGCCAAGTTCAAAAGATCTCAAGTTGTAACACAGTATAACTGGAAGGAACAAAGAATCAATGGCTATTCCCCTTTGAAGGCAGAAAAACCAAAATCTCTGGCATAAATCAGAATACATACTATTCCTTAAGCAACAACAACATAAAAATGAGCACTTCTTATCTTGGGAGGATAATCCCAAGAGTTTTGCAGCAGCTCAGGAAATGAAATCAAACTGATCACTTACCACAGGAAGAATATGAGAGTTCTACATTAGGTGACCTGCAAAGCATTTGTTTTTCTTGTGCCGCAGTAAATCCAGAAGCCAAAAGAATGAGATAAATGATAGAGGGTATTTCCATGGCTTTAAATCATGTTGACAGCTGCTATTACAGTAAGTGGAGGAAGGTAACACTATATTGTTTCACTTTTAGTTAAGAGGAACAAAGTTATGCTTAATCACCCTCCCTTAGTCATGTGATTTCTGAGAGTTTGGCCTGTATTTCTTCTTGAATATTCAGCTCTTGAATGGATACTTTAACTGGTTATTGGTAATTTCAGGAGGAAAATAATGTAATCCCTGGTCAGTTTATTGATAGATAACCTAATTTATATCAAACTACCTTTTCAGCAACTGAATTATAAAAGAGAAAACAATTGAGCCATCCTATTTATATAACATTGTCAGATAAGGAAGTGAAAAGAGGCATGGAAAGCACATGAGAACAAGCATATACAACAATCATACTTAGGAGTAGGTTTCATGAATTTCAGTGGTGCTTACCTCCAAATAAGAATATCTTGAGTTGCTGCCTTACTATTCATTCCTAAGAACACTTATTAAAGAGATCTGAGTAGGACTCTCTCTGAGTAGACCTGCTTAGGACTGCTCCCTTACAGGTTTACTCAATAAACTGCTTGCTCCCAGGAAAGTGTTTGTAGGATTGCACTGTTAATTTACTTTCTGGATAGGGACTTATCTTTTTTCCTAGCAGACAAGAGTCCAGCAACAACACTATCTGTCGCAGAATTTTTGACCTATGTATGGAAGTCAAGAGTAATACTCTGTAAATCTTGTAAACCATATTAGGACTGTTTTGTGTTTTTGAAATATTGGGAATTTTGATTGATGTTGTTCTTTGCACCTACCCTTAAACTCTCCCCTGTTTGATTTATCTATGGTATGCCAAATAAAGGTTCTCTGTTCCTACTTAACAAGGAAGACATCATTAGAAACAACTGGCAGCAGATGAAAGCTTAGTTGTGGTTTAAGAACAGAATAGCAAGACAATCTTTCTACAGCTGACCATGCATGGTTTTTAATTGTTGATGTGCCTCCTCTATGTGAAAATATGTGTTTTTTGATCACAGTAGAGAGATTTTAGAAAATGTCATTATGAAAACTGTGAAACATGGTATAATACAGGAAACTCTCTTGTTTGTTTACAGAGATTGGTTTTTTAATTTCCTGTGTTTGCATAGACTGATGGTTTGCCAAAGCATCTATTTTTGTATGTATCGGTTCTAATGCTTTAGACAGAGTTGTTTCAACAGCCAAGTTCACTGCTAGTATAACAGATTCTCATATCAGGTTCTGTAAATTATTTATACTTATTTGATCTGCACTCATTGCAGAGGATGAGATAGATGCTCTCCTACCTCCATCAACCTTATCCATATTTATTGTTTTTCCCCTAAATATTCCAGTTAAGCTCTAAGTGTTTTCCCATTACCTATCCTTACTATTTAACCTAAATTCTATCCTAGTATCTGCCTGTCTTTACCCCTTTTCTTTTCTTCTTTCTTACTGCTTCTTTCTTCCGTCTTTGTCTCTATTATTTGTTTGTTCCCCCCCCCCCCCGTCTTCTTTCCATTGCCTCTGTCTTAATGCTCTTACTGTCTCTACTCTGTCTCCACTACCATCCGTACAATCCAACAACATCCAAATACCTGTAGTTCTGAACTGGTTCTGCTGCTCTGCCTGGCAGCTGGCTTGAGAAATGAAAAGCTTACAGGAGAGGTCTACTCTTATGAGCAGTATAAAATTTAAGCTGCAAACACAGCTTAGTGTGGGGCTTCTCTGGTTAAATGGTCGCATTTAATTTCTTATATTGGAACAGAACTTCAATCTCATGTGAACTGGAAGCTCTGACATTAAGGTACATACACAACAGGTCGTGCCGCATGAGACTGACCATAAAAACTCACTGTGAGAAGAACTAGGGATCTTGGCACCAAAGGATGATATTGAGACTTCTTTGGAAGAAGCTGTAGCACTTAATAGAATCAGCACATGGATTGTAGAAGATATACTCTGGCCCTGTTCATACGAGGCGTTTTGGGCCCGGAGCGGGACGGAACGGGGGCGGAGCAAACGGGCGCGATCCCACGGCAACATCTGGGAATCGTTGCCTGCCCGTCCCCGATCCGTCCCTCTCGCCAAAAACCCGCACTAAAAAAGAACCACCTACCTAGTAGAGCGCCTCAAGCCGGGCCGTGGAATCGGCCGGCACATCCTTGCGCCGGCGCATCCCGGCCCCCGGGCGTACTGCGCATGCTCGAGCATGCGCAGTTTGGCAGCCTCCCCCTCTCATCCGACTCTTTCTCCCCCGGCATCTGATCGTGCCGGGGAGCGCTGCGCCGCGGCTCAGGGGATCCGTGGGATCCCGCCGCAGCATCTCAACTTTGGTGCGGCTTTTAAAAGCCGCACTTTTTCCTGTGTTTTCCCTGCCGTGTGGCAGGGGCCTCTGAGAGTCAAACTCTTGGCACTGACCAGAGCCTGGGACTTTTCCTTTGTGGCTCAGGGTCTGTAGAGTGGGCTCCCTGAAGACACGAGGGGGGGTGTCCTTGGAGATCTTCAGGAGGTGCTGCAAGGCCAGGGCTTTCGAGGGGAGGGGGATAAATGGCAGAGCATCTTTTAAGGAGGGAAGGGGGAGAGAGATCTGGGGTCTGCTATTTTTTTTTTCAACTTACGTTTTTAACTCCTTTTGTAAACCACCACCAACCACAAGGAAAATACACAAATAAATGTAAAGCTGGTTGAACCATCCTGCTTTGCACACGGGAATATTTAGAAGTGATGTACTTTATGGACCTGTAGTTCTGCTAGGTCGCATATTCTTCTTGAATGGTGCTAGCAACAAGGTGCCCTGAAAATCCATAACCAAAACAAGCTAAGAACTCTGAAGTTAAAGGTGGAGATAAGACCAATTTCTTCCATTTTTTTGGATTCCCAAATAATTAAAATGCCATTGAAACAACTGGCAATGACTTATTGTACAGACATTTGTGCTTTTATGTGCAAATACATACCTATTCGGTTTTGTATGTCATTCTTATTTATCTCAAGTTACAAGGCAAAGCTTTTCAAAAGCCCTGTTGGTATTTTGGCTCAGGAAATGTGTCCCTCTAGTGGCTAATGCTGGCAGACACACAAAACATTTGTGTCCCTTACACACCTTATGAGACACAGGCACCGACTCTAAACATTTGGGATCCAAACATAGAGTGTAATTATACTCTAAAGTCTCACTTATTTTAATTGGGGGTACTGTCACCATTTAATAGAACTCACTCATTTCAGTGCGTTATATTTCACATTAATAGTTGTTTACTGATACTTGAAAAATCTTTATATCCTATTATCACATACTTTGATTTGTCTGACATACACAGACCAAGGAGAAATAGCAGCTTCTTTTTTAACTTAAAACACTCACCTGATTTGTTTGTTGTAAATATTTCAAGAAATCCTTGATCCTCCAAGGCTTCATATTCATACGGCAGTTATAATGGCAGCCATTAGGAACATTGTTCACTAACGTTGAGCAATAGCTTTGGACTCAATGTATCTATCATCCCAGCATTGCCAACTCTTTCTCTAAATATGCAGGAAGATAGCACAAGCTGTGGAATTCACTGAGGCTTAAAGTGGTTTCTGCAAATGTAAAGCATACATTGGCCACAGTCTACATTCATATTGCAAATCCCCCCCCCCCTTATTTCTGTTCCACAATACCAAAGACCATCCTGGATATACATATGAACATTCTGAAGTGAATTATCATGTGTAGGAACATCCTAAGATCCAGGATATTGCACAGTGAGGGGCCTTTTAAATGGAGTTTTTGTACTTCAGTGTATGCTGCTGGTCAAGAGTGCTTGTTCGAGTTCTAACACAGTAGTCCCAAATCTTGTGGAGCCTGCAGGCACTTTTGGAGTTTTGTGAACAGGTAGTGGGCACCACCACAACATGGCTCCCATGGGTTCTGGAGCCAGTCACAAAATGTTGCAATGTTCCAAGCAAAGCATCCTTCTGGACGCATCAATTTCAAAATGTCCCCCCCCCCCCAAGCTGTTTCAACAGACACAAAGGTGATGCCTCCTTAGCTCTTCAGAAGCAATTCCCAATTCCTGCTCCAGTGACATAGAGGAATGCCTGAACTGGCTCTTTGCTTTGAGGAAAAAGGTTAGTGGCCACTACACATTGGTGGGCACTATGGCACACACAGGGACCACACTGGAGACCACTGTCCTAACTGATTAGCTATAAACTGTGATCACCAGTGGAGTTAATGCCTCAATAACTGGACAGTGACAGACTGCAAATTTTGAAAGAATATGGTGACACTTGCCCCTTTAAGAAGGAAGTCCTATTGTACACACAGAGCATACTTCACCTACCAAAATCAAATAAAATACAGATCATGCTTTCACTGAATTTCAACAATTCATGCTGTTATACAAAGACTACTAAGTGCTTAGAACTTATTTGATTGTATTTCACAACCATCCTTTCTAGAATACACTTGGCCTTGGCTGGAAGGGATACGCAAAAGGATTACAACTCTGAAGAGAAAAATTAAGGAATTGCACATAGGGAAAAATGGGGCACTGCCCATCATGAACAAAAAGAGTACCCCTCATACACAGATGGCCCTCTAAAGTTTGCAACATGGAACACACAAATATCAAATGTAGTTAATGA